GATAGAGGGATGAAATTTTGTCTTGTAGAAGTTGCTGCCACTTTATGTGCATGAGGGAACAGCTCAGGTGATGTAAACCAAAGAAGCGGGGCGGAAGAGCATATTGGCAATTGCTTGCTACGACAGTAAGAGATAAAAAGATAGAATGATAGAAATTGTAGAAGAAACTATGAAATGTATAAGATGTAATTGTCTAATTCATTTTGATAGTGAGCTCTTGATGGCTATTTATACATATTCAGCAGGGAGGTTATATACATTCAACATAGAGGATTTTTCTAACTGCCTTGAGGAAATCTTATCTGCTTATCATGCCCCTGCAAGATTGAGCTTCCATCAAGGATGCCGATCTTGGACCGATGAGATAAAAAAAGTTTGCAGGTGAAAGGCTTTGTGAGTGAGTCTACTAGTTGATCAGTTATATGTACGTGAGAGTGAAAGTCGATGGCAATGTGTTTCATGCGGGAATGAAACACTAGATTAGCACATAAGTAGGTAGCTCCAATATTATCATAATATATTGTAGGAATAACTGTAGAGTTGACGTTGAGTTCCTTGAGCATATTTGTGACCCAATTGAGTTCAACAGCGGTAGTGGCGATGGCACGGTATTCAATTTCAGTTGTAGATCGTGCAACCGTCTTTTATTTTTTAGAACTCCAACTGATTGGAGTAGCTCCTAGGAAGACAATGTATCCTGACATAGATGTTCTATCATTAAAGTTCCCTGCCCAATCAGCATCAGCAAAGGCATGGATATGGAGTGAAGTATTTTTGCGAAGAAAAATGTCATGATTAAGAGTCCCTTTAAGATACCGCAAAATTCGTTTGACCGCAGACCAATACGTAGTAGATGGTTGATGCATGAATTGCGATAATTTATTGACGATAAATGAAATATCTGGACGGGTGAGAGCTAAGTATTGTAAAGAGCCAAGGACTTATCGATATTGAGTCGAATCTGTAGCAGGACTTCCATCACATAATTTAAGTGATTCACTAGTAGAGAGAGGAGTTATAACCTCTTTCGCATCCTGCATGTTTGTTTTTGATAATAAATCTTGAATATACTTTCTTTGTGGTAGGAAGAGACCTGAAGATGTAAATGTTGCTTCCACTCCCAAAAAGTAGCTTAAAGTTCCTAGATTTTTGAGGGAGAATCGATTGGTCAAGTGCTTTAGAAATGCCTGAGTCTTCAAAGGATCATTTCCTGTGATAATAATATCATCCACATATACTAAAAGATATATTATGCTTCCATTATGCTGGCAAATAAATAACGAGGTATCAGACTTGGAATTGATGAAGCCAATTGAGGTCAAAAACAAGCCAAGCTCGTTATACCAAGCCCTTGGAGCTTGACGAAGTCCATAAATAGCTTTTTGGAGTTTGCAGACATGCCTCAGATATTGAGGATGAACGAAACCAAGAGGTTGTTGCATAAAGACATCTTCAGTAAGTGTCCCCTGTAAAAAGGCATTGTTAATATCCAATTGTCGTATGTGCCAACCCTTTGAGATGGCCAAACTCAGGATAAGACGGATTGTTGTGGGTTTAACAACGGAACTAAATGTCTCTGTGAAGTCGACACCAGGTCGTTGATGAAACCCTTTGGCGACTAGACGTGCTTTATATCTGGCAACGGATCTGTCTGGGTTCCGCTTAATTCGAAAGACCCATTTATACCTGATGATATTTTGTGTGTGATGAAAAGGTACTAAGGTCCATGTAGAGTTATAGAGGAGAGTATCATATTCGTCACATATGGTTTTACGCTAGTGAGAAAATTTTTGAGCTTGAGTGATTATAGTGGGTTCACTGGCCTCAGTGGAGGAACCTGTTATAGCATGTAAGTCAAGGACTTGACGTGGTTTAAAAATACCACTTTTGGAGCGTGTTGTCATTGGATGTCTAAGGGGGATAGAAGTGGTAGATTGTGTTGATGGTATAGCCAAGGGCGAGTCACTGTCATGGACCGGGCCAACCGTCGGCACGACAATATCACTAGGTCTAGGAGAAGGTAAAGCCAGTGCCAATGTTGACGAGGGTATTACTTCATTAATAGGGAAAACTTGTGAGGAAGGGAGTGGAGAAATAGAGGGAGTGGAGAAATAGAGGGAGTGAGAAGCTGTTGAATTGGAGTAATAGTAGTATGTGGATCTTGAGGGTAAGGACTGGATGTTGTTATTAGAGGTTCGTGTGATGAGATCGGAGGGATATTCCAGTGATGCATGTTTATCGGAGTAGCTTGCATGGTAGGATTATTTTGAAAAGGAAAGACAGACTCCTAAAAAATAACATGACGTGATATAAAGACTTTTTTAGTTTGGGGTTCATAGCATCGAAAAGCATTATGCTTAAGAGAGTAGCCTATAAAAGTGCAAGGCTTAGATCGTGGTATTAGCTTATGTGACGCATAGGGACGGAGCCATGGATAACATAAACAGTCAAAAACTTTGAGTTTATGAAGGTTTGGAAGCTTGTGGAATAATTTTTCAAATAGTGACTAGTATTGTAAGACTAGAGTGAGCATATGATTAATGAGATAAACTACAATTTGAAAAGCTACTGACCAAAAAGGTGGTGGCATGGATACTTGATGTAGAAGGGATAGACCAGTTTCAACGATATGCCGATGTTTGCATTCGGTAGAGCCAACCAATTAGGGAGTATGTGGGGGTGACTTGAGGTGTTGTATACCACAAGCAGAGAGACAGGATGTGAGGGCTTGATATTCGCCTCCACTATCATAGTAAACTGTTTTAATGAAAGATTGAAAAAAATTCTCAACCAACTTTCGAAAGTTGGTAAATATTGTGGAAACATCAGACTTATGGTGGAGAGGATATAACCATGTGTACTTAGTAAAATATTCTACAAAAATGACATAAAAGCGAAACTTGTCAAAAGAAGGAATTGGGGCAGGGCCCCACATGTCGGTATAAATGATTTTAAATGGTTTAGAGCAAGAAATGGAGGTTGTCCCAAAAGGCATTTTATGACTTTTATTGCAAAGACAAGCATCGCAATGATTGACAGTGCTATTGATTTTCAAGGTAGGAAGAGAATAACGAGAAAGTAATTTATGCTGGATTAAAGGGGAGGGATGACCAAGACGACGATGCCATACATCAACCGGAGCTGCGACTGAAGAGTGAGCAGTAGGAAGGGTAATTTGCGAAGTGGATGGCCACTCATAAATGTTATCTTTGTTTTGGCCCTGGACCAAGGATGCCCCCGTGCTCAAATCCTTGACAAGAAAAAAGTTAGGAAAGAATTCAATTGAGGTATTATTTTGTTTACAGAATTGAGAAACGGAAATGAGGTTTCTTTTAATGTTAGGTGCACACAGAACATCATCGAGTGTAAAAGTTGTGGTAAGTGAACTAAATGTTGAGGAACCAGAATGAGTAATAAGAATTCTTTTACCATCACCGATGATGATATTTTCATTTCTGTCATAGTTATTATGGATGGACAAGTTTTGAAGTTCAGAGGTGATGTAATGAGAAGCACCCAAGTCCATAATCCAATTAGGTTGGGTAGGAATTGGAGTAGCCATGAAATTCGCCTAAGGCCACTGTGATGGAGCAGGGAGTTTGGGGCGAGACCGATAGACTTTCGTGGAGTGTCCGACTTTATCACATAGTTGGCAAACGACTCGTTAGTGGCTTGTGAAATCAGGACACGACAGCTGAGGATTATGAAAGTTACCACCTTGATATGGATAAGGGGGGTTTGGTCTGGGCCCCATAGGGCTAGGAGGCAGCTTAGCTAAATCGTTGTTGACGTGCTTATTGTATTGGTTGCTCTTTCTCTTGGATTTTTGATTGACCTGAACTGTAATAGGTGGTCCGGGCAACCTATCATCATGCTTCAAGTACGTCTCATAGTCGATCAACTTATCATAAAGTTCTTCGAATGATATTGGTAAGCAGCGTGCCCAAAGTGTTGTTGTTAGTCCTTTGTACTCGCCTCCTAGACCATTGAGGGTATGGATTAGGACTTCTTCTGAGAAAATGACCTATCAAAGCTAAATCATTGATGATAACTTTAATATTTTGTAGATAATCAGCAATAGTACTTTCCTCTTGTTTCGTTTTCATCAGATTGGAGAGAAGTCCGAGCATGTGAGTACGCGAGCGATTTGCCAAAGTTGTTTGTAACTTGCACCATACTTCTGCAACAGTCGTACATGAGGATATCAGTGGAGCAATGGATCCAGCAACGGAAGTTTGAATAGCTTGGAAGATAAGGCGACATTGACGTAACCATAATTTGTGGGCTGGATTTGGCACTGGACTGGGTTCACTTGGGATGTTAATCATTTCAGGTGGACATTGGAGAGAGCCATCAACGTAACCTAAGAGATCATAGCTAAATAGAAGATTATAAACTTGTGCCCGCTAAGTTATATAGTTGTCGCCTTTGGATAATTTGAAGGGAATGAGTGCTGCAGCATTAATAGTGATAAGACTTTGAGAAGTGCTCAGAGTCCTTGCAGAAACAGGGACAGGAATATCGGAAGAGGAAAATGAAGACATCCTAGATATTTTGTGACGGTTTAAGTGATTTTTACAAAAGATGTAAAGATATAGGAGGGAGGGAGGAGGAGAAAAGCAGATCGATGAACTGCAGAGGAGGCTACAACGATGCAGCGATGCACTGCAAAGGAGGCTGCAGCGATAGGCGAGGAAGCTGCAGAGGAGGCTGCAGTGATGCACTATAGAGGAGGCTGCAGCGATGGGCGAGGAAGCTGCTGAGGAGGCTGCAGCGATGCACTATAGAAGAAGCTGCGCTATGAGTAAGAAATCTGCAGTGATTAGGTGAAAAGAAAAAAAAATCTGCAGCAGTTACAGTTGCAGAGAAATTGCTGCGGCAGAGGGAAGCGGCTGCAGATGGAAGCTGTAAAAACTGCAATCATTCCTGTTGCCGCAGGAAGGCAGTGATGGCTGTGACGGTAAAGATGGTGGCAGCAGCACTTCTCGCTCGAGTGAGATATGGGAACGAGGAGGAGAGGTCACTGGCCGGGGAGCAGTTACGAGGACACTGGCCACCACGATAGTGTAGGCGAGGTTCTTGTGAGGGTAGGAGGTGGCCGAGCAGTCTCCGACTCTGACACCGGAGGAGAGGTAAGCAGTAGCACTGTCCTTTTCAACTGAACAGAAAAGAGGAGCCATAGAAGGCTTTGGCCGAGCTGCGTAAATCCGCGAGGAAGAATGCTCTGATACCGAGGAGCACAAGCACAGAGCACTGCTCCACTTCCTCAAGAAAGCAAAGAAGCCTTTCCACGAGTTCATGGCCGCCACGGAGGCTGAGTTTGAGCGACTGCAAGAGGCTTATCAGAGCCTCGACGAGCGATGGAAGGATAAGGAACCGTTCCTGCGGCTGATGATCCTCGATGGCTGCTTCATGCTCGAGATAATGCGCGTCGCGACGCAGAAGTCCTCCGACCATGGCTACGCGTACGATGATCCCGTCTTTAGCGGAAGTGGCATTCACCACATCGTGCCCTACATAAAGCGAGATATGATGATGATCGAGAATCAACTGCCTCTGCTGGTTTTGGACCAACTGGTTCTCGTTGAGGGTCTTCATGGAACGGTAAGTGCAGCTTTACGCTTTCTTCTTTCGTTTTACCTGAATTATTACCTCGTCTTTCGACGTTGAACTATGCCACAGGCGGAGAAGTGCGTAGACGAGCTGATGCAAAGATTCTGGGAGTGGAATTCCACGGCGAGCCTGGGGCAGCGCCTCCACCCCCTTGGCGTGCTCCACAGCGTCCTGCTGAAACCCTGCAGGCAGAAGAACAAGGATATCAAGACGCCGAAGATGACACGATCATCCGGTCGGCAGTTGAGCTGCACGAGGCCGGCATCCGCTTCAAGACGAGCGAGTCCGACAGCCTCCTTGACATCTGGTTCGATAACGGTGTCCTCAGCCTGCCGAAGCTTACAGTGGACGACAACACCAAGTACATGTTCCTCAACCTCATGGCGTTCGAGGGCCTCCACGCCCGCGCCGGCAACGACGTCACCTCCTTCGTCTGCTTCATGGACCACATCATCGACTCCGCCAAGGACATCAACCTGCTGCACTACAAGGGGATCATCCTGAACGCGGTGGGAAGCGACGAGGCCGCCGCCGAGCTGTTCAACCGCCTGACCATGGACGTGTTGATGTTGATAGGAAGAGAGGATAGAGATATCAAATAGAGGAAGAGTATGACAAGCTTCAATCTTCTATATTTCTCTCAAGAAAAATACTTTTACAATTTCAGAAACTCTATTACCCTTATGACCCAACATATGGGGTTTATATAGTCCCCAAAGATACATTATATTAATTGTATTCAAGATGAATCATTCTCTTTCAAGAAACCCTTTCAAAAATCAATAACCAATTTAACTTATCCTTCTATAGACTTTTAATCCATTTTTTCTTCTTGATGTAATGATTCTCCCACTTGATGCAATGAACCTTTTTTATGACACTTGAACAAGTTTAATTCCAACATTCTCCCCTCTTAAACTTGTTCCATCCAGCATGCCAAGTTTTCTTCGAAGTTGTTGAAATATTTCAAATTTAAGACGTTTTGTGAGTATATCAACCACTTGTTCACTTGTCTTGACATGATGTATCTCCATTTCTTTATTTTTGATATAATCTCTTATGAAATGAAATCTTGTATCGATATGCTTCGATCTTTCATAATAGACTGGATTCTTGGCTAAGGCAATAGCTGATTTGTTATCAACATAAATCTCGGTTGACTTCTCGTGTGGAATATGAAGTTCTTGGAGTAATCTTCTTAGCCAGATTGCATGACAAACACAAGAAGAAGCTGCTATATATTCTGCTTCATAACTTGATAGAGCAACGATTCGTTGCTTTTTTGAAGACCAAGTGAATGTAGCTTCACCAAAATAAAATACAAATCCAGTTGTACTCTTTCGATCATCGTAGCTTCCGGCCCAATCACTGTCACTATATCCAATGAGCTCCGACTTTTTAGATGATGAATAGAACATTCCATACTCAATTGTTCCTTTAATATATCGCAAAATTCTTTTAGCGATATTTAAATGAGATAGCTTTGGAACTTTCATAAATCTACTTATTAAACCAACTCCAAATAGTATATCAGGTCGAGTGCATGTCAAATACCTTAAACATCCAACTAGACTTTTATAATAAGTTGGATTAATGTATTTACCTTCACCTTCCTTGGTCAACTTGGTGCCATATTCAACAGGTGTATTTGTAGGATGACAGTCTTCCATATAAAACTTCTTTAAAACCTCCTTTGCATAATTTTCTTGTGAGATAAAAATTCCTTCATTATCTTGTATAACTTCGATACCAAGGAAATAAGTCATTAAGTCCAAGTCGGTCATCTCAAACTCTTTTTTCATAGAATGCTTAAAATCTATAATCATGGAGCTACTATTGCTTGTAAATATTAAATCATCTACGTACAAGCATACAAACAAGATATCTCCATTAGAGTTAGATTTTGTATAGAGAGCATGTTCATGTGGACATTTAGAAAAACCATTTTGAATAAAATAAGTATATATTCGAGAATTCCATGCTCGTGGGGCTTGTTTAAGCCTATAAAGAGCTCTATTTAACTTATATACTTTGTTCTCTTGTTCTTGAATAATAAAACCAGGGGGTTGTTGAATATATACCTCTTCTTCAAGAACTCCATTAAGAAATGCTGATTTGACATCCATTTGTAAAATCTTCCATTTCATTTGAGCTGCTAGAGAGATAAGTAATCTTACTGTCTCCAATCGAGCAACTAGCGCAAATACTTCTTCATAATCAATCCCATATTGTTGTTTATATCCCTTCGCAACCAATCTGGCCTTGTATTTCTCCACCTCTCCTTTTGCATTTCTTTTTGTTTTGAAGATCCACTTAACACCGATAGCTTGGTGGTCTTTTGGAAGTGTAGTAAGCTCCCATGTATTATTTTTGTTAATGGCATGAATCTCTTCATTCATAGCTTGTCGCCATTTTTCATCTCTATAAGCTTCTTCAAAGGTTAATGGATCATATCCTGCAAAAAGATAAAATAAAGAAAGTTCATCATTGTTAGTATCAATCCTTCGAGTCACATCATATAGGTCTTGAGTCGGTCTTGTCCTTCTTATAATTGGACTTCTTGAATCATGTGACCTAGCTGATCTAGGTGATGATTCTGGCAAAGCCACTTCGGTGCTTGCTTGTATTGTATCATCTTCTTCTGAAGCTATAGCTTTCTTATGCTGCTCATCACTTTTCCAGTTCCAAATCTGTTGTTCATCAAACTCAACATCTCTTGACATCACAACTTTATTTGTGATAGGATTGGAGAGTTTGTAACCACTGGAATTCTCCGGATAACCTAGCAAAATGCATTTTTGACTTTTATCCTCCAATTTTGTTCTCTTCTCTTCTGGTATCTTAGCAAATGCAACACTTCCAAAAATCCTCAAATGATCAACTCTTGGTTTTTGTAAGCTCCATGCTTCTTCTGGTGTAACATTACCAATTCGCTTTGTCGGAAACCTGTTAAGCAAATAAACTGCACAAGCAATAGCATCACCCCAAAATTCTTTCGAAATTTTTCTTTCCTTTAACATACATCGGACCATATTAAGGATAGTCCTATTTTTTCTTTCTAAGACACCATTTTGTTGAGGTGTGTATGGCATGGTGAATTGATGTAGAATTCTATTATTTCTACAAAAACTTTCAAATTCATTTGATATATATTCACCACCCCTATCTGTTCTTAAACATTTAATCTTACAATAACTTTGTCTTTCAACCAAATCCTTAAATTCTTTGAATTTGCTTAAAACTTCTTTCTTTTCTTTTAACATATAAACCCAAGTTTTTCCACTATTATCATCAGTGAAGGTAAGAAAATACCTGCTTCCTCCAAGTGATATTGGATTGATAGGGCCACAAACATCTGAGTGTACCAGATCAAGTCGATTCCATGCTCTTTTTGTCCTTCTCACTTTGAAAGGCTTTCTTTCTTGCTTACCCATGACACATACTTCACACAATTTTGCTGAGCGATCAATTTTTGGCATTCCTGTCACCATATTATACTTCTCTAGAAGTTTCAAAGCCTCAAAATTTAAGTGAGCATATCTAAGATGCCAAAGTGTAGAGATATCCTCAATATCAGCTTTAAAACAATTTGATTTATCAAAAATACTTAAATGCAGAGGAAACATTCTATTCCGTGCCATTTTCACATGTGATATCAGTGTTTTATTCTTATCACGAATTGAGAGAGCCATATCTTTCATCTCAATTTCATAACCTTTTTCAAGTAATTGTCCCAAGCTTAAAATATTATTTTTCATATCAGGAACATAATAAACATCTGAAATGCATACTTCCTTGCCATTATTAAGTTCAAGGAGAATTTTACCTTTGCCTCTTGCTGGTCTTTGAGATAAATTGCCAAATGTAATGTTCCCGGAATAACTTGTATCTATTTCTGAAAATAGCTCTTTGATGCCACACATGTGATTTGAAGCTCCTGTATCTAGATACCATGTCATAGATTGATCCTCTTTCAAATTATCATAACTCATTAATAAAACTTGATTTACGTTC